ACACATGAATTGACACTGTAGATGTTGAGTAGCTAATCTAGATGTGTAATCTGACATTTTGGAGCAAAAATGGAGATAGCCAAAAAATGCCCAAAATTGAGATTTTTCCACAGGCGCGCGCCTGTCGGGTTTTTTCAGCCAAAAACTGACATTCTGCAAAAGTTAAAAATTTTGTCTCAGACTATCATTTCACACTTCAGCAGATACTCTAGAGGAGTAGTTGAGAATTTCAAAGCAAACTGATGGCAGAAAAGGAAATAGGAAAACAAGGAAAAAACAGATTTTACTTATAAATTTCCCTAACAACTTTTGGTGTCCTACCAGCTCACTATGAGTCCCAGACAATTGTTTTACACATGAATTGACACTGTAGATGTTGAGGAGGTACTCTAGATTTGTAATCTGACCTTTTGAAGCAAAAATGGGGGGAATGTGCCTCGGTGAGCTGGTGCGGATTTCTAGTGGAAAAGAATGTCTTATCCCTTAAAGTCCATTGTGTCCGAATTGTTTGCCAGTGTCCCTCTGCCACCTGCCAACAGAGTCTAACATGTGTCCGATAAACCAAACTAAGCTTGCGATTCCGTCATCCAGGTATGCAGACTGCTTTAATTATGCTACCGCAACGACTTCTTATCTCATAGTACCTTTTGCTAAGTCACCAGTTCGTCTTGTCCTGTCCGAAGAACATCCGGTAATACGTGCAGCAGGAGAAACCAACCCTAAGCCTCATGAACTCAGGTGGGCCCACTCTCTGAAAATGTCTAGGAGCTCGTGGGCCGAAACATTTGTCGATGAGAGGTTACTTCTACTAATGATTGGTAGACTCCTGCTGTACATGCTTCCCTGTGGAGTTTCTTTTTATTTATTTTTCAGAGCATTTATCTCTCTCTCTCTGTCTCTCTCTCTTTCTCTTTCTCTATTTCTCTCTCTCTCTTTCTCTCTCTCTCTCTCTCTTTCTCTCTCTCCTCTCTCTCTCTCCCTCTTTCTGTCTCTCTCTGTCTGTCCATCTATCTATCTTGTATATCTATCTATCTGTCTGTCTGTCTGTCTGTCTGTCTGTCTGTCTGTCTGTCTGTCTGTCTGTCTGTCTGTCTGTCTGTCTGTCTGTCTGTCTGTCTGTCTGTCTGTCTGTCGGTCGGTCGGTCGGTCGGTCGGTCGGTCGGTCGGTCGGTCGGTCGGTCGGTCGGTCGGTCGGTCGGTCGGTCGGTCGGTCGGTCGGTCGGTCGGTCGGTCGGTCGGTCGGTCGGTCGGTCGGTCGGTCGGTCGGTCGGTCGGTCGGTCGGTCGGTCGGTCGGTCGGTCGGTCGGTCGGTCGGTCGTCGGTCGGTCGGTCGGTCGGTCGGTCGGTCGGTCGGTCGGTCGGTCGGTCGGTCGGTCGGTCGGTCGGTCGGTCGGTCGGTCGGTCGGTCGGTCGGTCGGTCGGTCGGTCGGTCGGTCGGTCGGTCGGTCGGTCGGTCGGTCGGTCGGTCGGTCGGTCGGTCGGTCGGTCGGTCGGTCGGTCGGTCGGTCGGTCGGTCGGTCGGTCGGTCGGTCGGTCGGTCGGTCGGTCGGTCGGTCGGTCGGTCGGTCGGTCGGTCGGTCGGTCGGTCGGTCGGTCGGTCGGTCGGTCGGTCGGTCGGTCGGTCGGTCGGTCGGTCGGTCGGTCGGTCGGTCGGTCGGTCGGTCTGTCTGTCTGTCTGTCTGTCTGTCTGTCTGTCTGTCTGTCTGTCTGTCTGTCTGTCTGTCTGTCTGTCTGTCTGTCTGTCTGTCTGTCTGTCTGTCTGTCTGTCTGTCTGTCTGTCTGTCTGTCTGTCTGTCTGTCTGTCTGTCTGTCTGTCTGTCTGTCTGTCCGTCCGTCTGTCCGTCTGTCCGTCTGTCCGTCTGTCCTTCTGTCCGTCTGTCCTTCTGTCTATCTGTCTATCCTTCTATCTATCTGTCTATCTATCTAGCTAGCTAGCTAGCTATCTATCTTGTCTGTCTGTCCGCCCATCCGTCTGTCTGTCAGTTTGTCTGTCTCACTTTTTTTTTCACTTTATGCTCCTCTCAGTCTCTATACCTGTCAGTCTAACTCTCTAGTACAGCGGTTCTCAGCCTATGAGTCTCTACCCATTTTTGGGTCGAACGATCCCTTCACAGGGGTCACCAAACACTATCACAAAGCACATATTCATTGAAGTTATGAAGTAGCGACAAAAATAATTGTATTTTTATTGGGTCGCCTCACCATGAGCAAGTGTATTAAAGGGTCATGGCATTAGTGATGTTAAGAACAACTGCTCTAGTATATCTGTTTATGTCCTCCTTCCATGTGTTTATTTGCTGCCTTCCTGACTCCTAGAACACTAACGTACATTTACACCACCTGTTAACAATTCCTATACTTATTACATCACATTTACTCTTTATCCACAGGGGCTTAATAAGAAGGACTAACATCCCAAGAGGCAAGTACCACATAAATAACCTTTGTTGTTCCCTGAAATTTTTTTTTTTTTCAAGTGTTTATTGTTTACATAACATCAGGTACAAAAGCAAAAACAATAAGGTGATGTGAGAAATATTATGATGGTTTCTACCATTTCCACCAAAACATTTAACAGGGAATAGAGACAGGGGGAGGCAGAAAGGACCGGGGCTCGAGGAGAGCTGGGGGCTATTTGGTTTGTTGGCGGAAACATGTTGTAAAATATATATATATATATATAAACAACAACAGAAGAAGGAAAGAGAGAATAACAGAAGGAGAGAAGGAACGAGAAAAAGGGGGCACGAAAACGCAGTGGCGGACAGGAGAAACCAAGGAGGAAATAGAAAGGGCCACTCATTTTGATTTACATTTTTGCATACATTAAATCAAATCTTCAGACAAAAAGTGAGAAAAGTACCAATTTACATAAACTCTTCTGGAACCCTCCCAGGACATCACACAGGTGATAAACACCCGATGACACAGAAGTGCTACCATGTGGGTGAGGATCCCCTGTGGAGTGGTCCCAGAAACCATGTTTCGCCCTAGCCATTACGACCGGGCTACTCTGCGGCCTCTGGCTCGAGAGCCAGAGTAGGGCTCCAAATGGACGAAAGCACCGTGCAGTTCACGGTTGCCAATTTAAATAACATGTCAGCATATTGCATCAAGAAATATGTACATGGTATCAAGTTATTTACATGAGTGGATAACATAAAGGGGACTTTACAAACATATAAACTAACATCAGGTCGGGACAGAAAAAGATGACAGGGCCACTTGTCACATTTACATTGGCCAGTGTAACACGATTTGGCACGAATTGAGACAGTCCGTATCCATCTTCCCTTGAAACCCCACCAGGACGTCACACAAGCGATAAAACCCGATGACAAAGAAGTGCCATCATGTGGGTAAGGATCACCCGTGGAGTGGCCCCAGAAACCGAGTTTCGCCTCAAGCCATTACGACCGGGCTAATCTGCGGCCTCTGGCTCGAGAGCCAGAGTAGGGCTCTAAATGAGAGATAAAATCGTAACACTTCACATTAACAATTTCAAGGCATGTCATTAACTATTACATTTAGAGAATTTATAGAATACATACATGGCATCAAATTATTTACATGAGTGGAGAAACACAAAAGGGACTTTACAGACATGTAAACTAACATCAGAGAAATGAAAGGGACATGACAACGTAAGCGGACAGGGGCGGGGGAGAAAAGGATGACAGTTAGGGCCACTCATCATATTTATAGTAGCCAGAGTAAAGCGATCTGGCGAGAAGTGAGAGAGTCTGTATTCATCGACCGGGCTACTCTGCGGCCTCTGGCTCGAGAGCCAGAGTAGGGCTCCAATGGAAGACGACACAAAGTAGGTCATAATATTACACAATGAAATAAATAAAAAAGTAAATAAATGATGACAGACCTAAAGGGGAGGGGAAGGGGTAAAGAAAAACCAGGTTTGAGGAGAGAGCGAAGAGTGGCGAGGGAGAGAGGACAGAGAAGTGTGGGAGAGAAAGAGAAGAGGAACTGTGGCCGGCTCGAAGGAGTGGACGAAGCAAGCCCCGGGCATCTCCTTCGTTTCTGCCACATTCACTTACCTTTGGTACACACCAGTGGGTGCACCCGGTGGGGGGGGGGGGGGGGGGGCGAGTAGGAAAGTCAGGTTCAAAGAGTGAACAGGGAGTAGCGAGGGAGGGGAGACAGGAATGTGGGGAAAGTTAGGTAGGAAAGGTGGCCGGCTCGAAGGAATGAACGGAGCAAGCCCCGGGCATCTCCTTCGTTTCCGCCACATTTACTTGTGTTTATGGTACACTCGGGCAAGACATCGATTGAAGTGTACCAGCCAAAAATACGCAAATATTGTTTAGACACAGAAATAATCTTGAGATGTCGCTTTGCCGTGTCTGGTTTCAGCGACCTGTGCCGTTTCGCTTTCAGCGTGTAGCGTATGTGTAGTTTGTATTTTTGTTGAAGTGTGAGGGGGGTAAGGGAGGAGAGGGTTTGTGGATTTCCTCTTCGCTGATTCCCTTTCTGCCAAAAACCAGTTTCTTAAATTCTTTGGTATGTCCTGTGGTGTTAGGAAGTGGGCATTTGTTGTGCGTTAGTACTTTTGTGTAGTTGTTTCCCTGAAAATGGATTTTATAATTTGAAAGTTATGAACTTATCTTTGCAACTGAATAGTGTTTTCATATTTTGTTTTAATGCGATATGGATGCTTATTCTTGTTATATTTTTTTTTTTTTTTTACCCTTGAGGTTCACTGCTACAGATATCACCCGCCTCCATTCATCTCCATGATTGGCCTTCTGTTTCCAAATGAAGATTCCAAGTATTTTGTAGATCTACAAATTGAAAAGAGTAGCCTAACAGTGCTGCCCTAGCAAAATTTGGACCTAAAAATCTACCCAAAGAATTTCAGGATCCTCGCCGGTGCTACAGAGCCTGTGCACTGTGCTGAGCTTCTTCGGACTCAGACTTGAGTTAGAAGAAGAACGGAGCACCTATGAGTTGCTACCCGTGTGCCATGATAGTGATCTATTGTTCAAATCTCAAACCTCAAATACATTGCAGCTAACCTCCATTATGGAGACAGTGCAAACATAAATGATAATGGAAACTTCTCTGAATTGTTTCAGCCCCATCCAGTTACTGCTGTAACCTCTTCTACTTCAAGAAGGTGGGCTTCAAAGCAATATATACTTAGATGTGAAGGAGTTTAACAGAGTCAGTGTGGGACAGAAGTAAACTAATAATATAAACAGAAAGGTCCATTTAACATTTGTGTATAATAAGAGGACAGCAGAAACATCTTATTTTCTTTGGAATTACTAGGAAATGTGTGGTATTGAGAGAGTTAATCTTTTGGGTATTGAGATCATTATTGTATGTGTGTTGTTGGGTCAACTGTTGCTGTCGACTGTCTGATGAGCTCTCAATGGACTTCATCGTTGCATGTGTGATGCCTATCTAGTCAGTCAGGTTCTGTGTCCAGGTCTTTCTTGGTCTGCTTCTTTTCCTCTTCCCCTCTACTGAGCCTTGTAGTATTATTTTTTGAGAGACTGTTAGATCTTATTATATGTCTGCACCATGGCATTTTTCTTTTCAGTTATTGAGATAGGTAGGTTTTTTGTAATTGGGGTATATTTGTGTGTGTGTGATGAGGCAAAGTCTATGCATCCAGTGTGCAGATGTTACTTGAAATTTCACATTGTTGGACATGATTATGTCTTATTCAGTAAATCCCTGTCATAGAGGTTGGAAAAAACAATTCTTTCAAGCCTCATAGAGTCAGTAATTTGGATGCTTTGAATGAGGCAAGGGCCTGAAAACACATCAGAGACAGGCAGACATCATTTTTTATTTTTTGCAGCCAAAAGTGGAAACAATCTGGAATATGTTAAGACAATTGGAACAATTTGTTGAAAGAGACATGGGAAAAGACAATGATAAAAGACCCTGAACAGCCTTTTATCATTACATGGAAATGTTTTCTCACACAAACTAATACATGCTGTTGGAGATCACACAAAGTGTAGAGAAGTATGATCATAACACCAGCACTTGATGATGATTAGTCATGATTTCCTGTTGCTTTTAAAACATATAACGTAACTAGTGTACTTCTTCTTTTCATATGTTTATATTAGATGCAGTAGACTACATTGTTATGGGAACCGTTATAATGGAGGTGAAGACAAGTAACATTGCCAGAGAGGTAATAGTTTACCATTTATTGTTTGTGTTGTCTTGAAGTTGAAGTGTTGAGGATCTACTTCATTGACCTGGATGGCTCGGGTCTCTTAGCACACAGTGGCTAACCACCTGCTGGGAGCACTGTAAAAAAAAAAGTTAGGTTCCCTTTTCACGCCTTTCGGCGCATCGGGCATATGGACAGGGTGTCCCATATTTTTACAGACCATCAGCACTCTGTGGGTAATGTGGTCAGCATTACGCCGGCTGTCTTTACTTTCCCAGGACAGTCCATCCTGGTACCCATTTTAGGCTGGGTCGACCTGCGACGTCCCATACCACGACAAAAATCCACGCAGCCTGCAGTGGGTTTCGATCGCGGTATGCTGGCTTACGAGTCGGACTCGCAACGCCTTAGCCACGGACGCCGCTTGGGAGCACTGTAAAATACATTAATTCTGTAAATTTAGTGGTGATCCTTATGAATTTCAGTAAAAATTGAACTCTTTAACTGAACAACACACTTAGGAAATGAACCTATGACCTTCAGAGTGAAATGCAAATGGCTTGACCACTTCGCCGTGAAGATCCCCATAAAAAAAAATATAAGAAAATTATTTGCTTTTCCTTTCTCCCATGTGGCAGGTGGGGATACCACTATAATACTGAGGACACCCCACGCACTAAAATCTACCTTAGTTCACATTTAAACCCAAGACATTTGGGCTGGCAGGTGAGCGTCTGGCCACTGTGCTACTGTAACTTCCCACTGTCGTTACAGACATGCCCCACGTGCATGCTGCACGATGGTGATGCAACTAATGATGGTTCCACAGTATAGTAATTGCCATGTAGGAAAACAGTGGCCGACTAATTTCTTCAAAGATGCCTAGAAATGTCATGGTTCGACACTCCAACACAGCTTCCGATAAATGGCATAAATCATTTGCTTCAGGAGAGTCTATAGACTGAAAACATAGTGATGATTGGCATACTTGATGCAACAAGAGTAAAGGGAAGATAAAGAAATGATTACCTGGATGCTTGGCAACATTGTTTGAGCATGTCACTTATACTGACCTGCTGCAGGACTGGGAAATGTGGCTGCCTACACATACGTTACGTGCTGATGAAACATGCAATATTGATTTCAATATTTTCATATTAAAGTTTTGGTTTCTTTATTATAGCAGAATAATATTGGTCTAATTATTGTAGCTATGTAGTACTGGTTTAAGTATTGTAGCCATATTGTATTGGTTCTGTTTTTATAGCCATAGAGTATTGATTTAATTATTATCATCATCATCATCATCATCAGGTGCCTTGCCGACTGGCATGGGCGATCATGCCTCTCCATAATCCGCGATCTCCTGCAGCATGTATCAGTTCGTGTGCCGACACACCTCCATGCCATGCAACAAGACTGTCAAGCATCTTCTCTCGTTGTCTTCCTCTATCCCTCCTTCCACAGATCTTTCCAGTGGTCACAACATGTTCTATTTTCCCTCTTCTCATAACATGGCCGAAAAATGATGACTGTCTCCTTCTGATGTCAGTGATAAGTTGTCTTCGGTCTCCCGCCTCTTTTAAAACCTCTTGGTTGCTCTTTTTGGCTGTCCAAGGTATTCTAAGCATTCTTCTGTAAAACCACATCTCTGAGGCCTCCAAAAATTGTTTGGCCTGCCTACCGCTTGTCCAGGATTCACATCCATATGTTAAAACTGGATGTATGTAGCAAGCAAGAATTCTTTTTCTAACTCTCAATGACAAGGATATATTGCACAAGATGTTTTTCATTTTATAAAATGCAGTTTTTGCCTGTCCAATTCTGTTTCTTATTTCAGTTATGCATCTTCCATCTGATGTTATCCATGTGCCCAGATACTTAAATTACTAAAATACTAAAATTATTATAGCCATGCAGAATTGGTTACAATAATAATGCTACAAATTATTGATAAATAGTATTGCTTTTATTACCATAAGCATTCAGTATTGGATACATTAATAAGGCTATATAGTATTGATTTCATTATCATAAGCATAAAGTATTGGTTACAATAATAATGCTACATAGTATTTATTTCATTATTATAGCTGTACGATATTGGTTACTTTAATAATGCTATATAGTATTGATTTAATTATCATAGGCATACAGTATTGATTTAATTTTTCTAGCCATATAGTGTTAGATTCATTATTGAAGTCATATAATATTGGTTTAATTATTTAAACAAAATATTATTGGACTGATTTGTTGAGCCCTATTTTATTGGTTTCATACTTTCAGAAATATAGTCTTGTTTTCATTGATTTAGCATACAGTACATATGTAATTATTATATTCATGGACTGTTGGTTTTGTTATTCAAGCCATAATAAATTGAGACAGAAAATAAATTATTAATTTTAGGCTGCATTGGGAGCAGGTTTTTCTGAGAGAATACCAGCTCATACAGTGACTCAGGCCTGCATATCATCCAACCAGGCAATCACAACAGGTATGACTTTTGACCCTTCGAATTATCCCGCTTTATCCTCCAGAAAAACCCTTGAAATATTTTACATGGTCACAGTATTATTTTTTTTAAATCTTCTTTCTCTTCTTCTTTGCATTCACCAGCTGTAAACTCTGTAAGTTCTGGTTGTTCATCCACTTCTGGACTGCAGTCCTGTTCCAGAACCTGAGTGTTGTGTGTGCATCCATTTTAGAGATCCAACTCATTTGTATGCAGACTACTAGTTCCTTGCCTCTCAGCCAGATGCACTCCTACTTTAGAGGAATTTTTAAATAGGTATTTGCTGTTTAAAAAGTAACAATAGGATTATTAGGGGCCATAATAATAATTAAAAGTAGAACACAGCTGAGAATTGGATTGAATACTCTCCCTTAGTGTAAAGAAATGTATACAGTGAGTCACCCAGTGAACCCATCACTGTACGACTGTAGTGGTGAATTATTCCATGATAATCACTTTTTTTTAAAAATTAATTACAATAGCAAACCCTTCAAGCACTATATTTAGTAAATATAATCATTTTCGGCCTTCTTAAACACTGTGCAGGTGCAAACAGAACAAAAGCCATTAACCAGGCTTAACATGACTAGCCAAAACCATACAGCCACACTGTCTGCCTTACACAAATTTTTAGTGGGTGGCAAATACATGTTATCGACTTCTTTGAGCCAGAGGTTTAACAGTATTTATGCATCGTTCTTTAAAATACAGAGTTGTAATAGTTAATGAACTGGGCTGGGATTGATGTCCAGCGGAGGAAGGTGTTGTGTGCTAAAGTTGCTAATGGGCAGACAGCACATGACCAGTTGTCCAAGATATGATTCACACAAAACACAATTCACATGACATTGTCCCCAACAATGTCACAATCCTTCTGAATCCACATGAATCAGCACGCAACAGAAGGATTTTCCCAACCAGTGTAATTCTGAAGGTTGACTTGGCAAAACAGAAATATGTACCAGAAAGGGTTGATCATTTTCTTGGAATATCTGAGAAGTTAAGGTAATGAAGAATGGAAATTGTCATTTTATCTAATTTTTCATGGCCTAGAACGTATAAATGTGTAACACGTCACATTCAAATATTAGTATCTTTATCTGAGTATGTTTGTATGCACGTGTGATGAGAAAAGACATTGTCTGAGTATGTTTGTATGCATGTGTGAGAGAGAGGGCTTTGTCTAGGTATGTTTGCATGCATGTGTGAGAGAGAGAGTTTTGTGTAGGTATGCTTGTATGCATGTGTGAGAGAGAGTGTTTTGTCTGGGTATGTTTGTATGCACGTGTGAGAGAGCGGGCATTTATGTGAAGATAATGCTTGCATATGGTTTCCAAAAATTGTTATAGTCAACTATAATTAAATCTTTCAAAATTAAAATAATGTGGTCATTGCTGCTCGCTAGGAAATTATAAAAATTAAAAGCTAAAATTAGTTTTTTTTATCAACCTTTTTGACATGGATTGTGTTTCTCCACAGCTATTGGCCTAATTGCAGCTGGTCAGTGTGATACAGTAGTGGCTGGAGGCGTAGAGTTCATGTCAGACGTACCAATCAGGCACAGCCGAAAGATGCGTAAAATTATGCTGGACTCACAAAAAGCAAAAACCATTCCTGCCAAATTGCAGCTTTTTTCGAGAATATTAAGTCCATCTGTTTGGATTCCAGAATTACCAGCTGTGGCAGAGTTCTCCACAAATGAAACCATGGGGCATTCTGGAGATCGTCTGGCTGCTGCTTTCAAGATTTCAAGACAAGAACAGGTCAGTGAAGGCTGATGAAACTTGTTTCCTTGAAAAGAAGGTGTTTTATTTTAATATCACCGGCTGTAAACTCTTGCAGAAAGTTCTGATTGTTCATCCACTCCTGAAATTTGGTCCTGATCCCAAACTTGAGTTTTTTGTGCATATCCATTTTACATGCACTCCAGCTTTCGAGGAAACATCCCTAGTTAGTCCACTTTTGCAGCATGTTTGTTAGGGGCACAATAGGTCTCTTCTCCAAAATGGAGCACACAGAGGGAAAGCAGGCATAAATGAGTACCAGAAAATTTTGTGCAAAGTAAAGGCAACAGGTATGGTATTGACCATATCATCTATCGAGGGCCAGTTGGTCAAAAGATACAAATATAGCACCATGTGCCAATGGTTTTAAAAAAGTCTTTACTTTTTAATTCACTAGACAAGTAATTTTTCATAGTGAAGGAAATACAAAGATAGAAATTATGACAAGCATTGGCAATCAATCCTCATCATGCCCAGAGGCATCTAAGGCAGAGACAAACTGTCGCAACTCAATTCAATCCTGAGCCATCCTCTCTATCTCCAGTTTTGTCCTTCATGTAGCCTTGAGTTCAGCTTCAAAGGATCACCTCCAAGTGCCTCTGTGTCTGCCTCTTCTACGCTGTCCTTGTGGTGTCCATTGCATTGCCTGTCTTGGCCGTCTCTCTCTTTCTTCATTCTGAGGACGTGTCCAATCCACCTCCATCTTTATTTTTTGATTTCAAAATTTACATCTTCTGTCATTTGTTGTAATCTCGAATTGCTGATTTTATCTTTCCATGGCAACCCCAACAATCTTCCGTGAAGTCTTCCCTCAAAACCTCTGAACATGCTCTCTGTCTTTCTGTCCTTTCGTATATACTGAGTTTAGTTTTAGTGTTGTAGATGTTTGATCTCCAGACACTCTGAAGTCTCTTGTAAGCAGCATTTACCTTTGCAATTCTCTGCTTGATTACATTCACTACCTTTCCATCCGAGGAGATATTGCTTCCCAGGTAAGTGAAGTCTGTTTCCAAACCTACATTATCTATTACAATCGGTCTTTTACTTTTGGGGTTTATCTCCAGCAGTTTTGTTTTATTGACATTGATTCCTAACCCTCTCTGTTATGCTATTCTTTTGGTCCATCATCAGCTTTTATTAGGCTGAAAAAAAGATGGAACTCTTGATTATGGGTTTAAAACCAAGTTAAATATTTTCATCCTAATGTTATTTCAGGTATAACTTATGCCAGTGAATGTTGAAGAACACTAAAGACATGAAACAAATGTTAAATGCGTTCAAAAACCAGTACCTGAAGAAAGTGATAAAATAAAATGGGATGAATTGAAAGGGTGTGAAGAAATAAGAGAAAGGTTTGAACAACCACTAGTATCAACAATTGTAAGATAGAGATGATGGCGCTATACTGGACACATAATGAGAAGAAGAAAAAAGAGGATCACCAAGCAGGCATTAAAATGGGAAATAAATGGGGTTAAGGAGGCGATGACACCCAAAAGAAACCCTGAAATGAACTTTGATAAGAGAGGCCAAAGGTGCTGGACTGGATTCCATCTGTGATATCAGACTGACTGCGCAGGATAGAGTGGAATGAAAGAATAATAGACTGTGGGCCATATGTGACCCATATAATGGCACAACTGGACAGTAATGATGGTGATGACATAGAGAATTGTACGAGAACTGAATATTATCAAAGCACCCCACTGTGGTACGTTGGGGCATGTATTCTGAATATGTTCATTTATCTCTAGGATGAGTTTGCAATACGGTCCCATAAACTGGCGCAGGAAGCCACAGAGAAAGGTTTGTTAAGTGACAGACTGGATTACAAAGTACCAGGTAAGAATAGTTTTTGAAAAACTGTCATCAGCATCATCGTCATCGTCATCATCATCATCATCATCATCATCATCTGTCTTTTACTCTGTCAGTACTCTACAGATGTATGTACATCTTATAAGATACTGAAAGTAAGTAAAGTAAAGATCCCTTTTTACACCTTTAGGCGCATCAGGCATATAGGAAGAGCACTCATATTTTACAGACAAATTGGCACTAGGTGGGTAATGTTGTCAGCATTAGGCAAACGGTCTTTACTTCCTCAGGACATCCATCCTGGTACCCATTTTAGGCTGGGTCGACCTGCGACGCCCATACCATGATAAAAATTCACGCAGCCAGCAGTGGGTTTCGATCACGGTATGTTGGAATTACGAGTTGGACTAGCAACGTCTAAGCCACAGACACTGTGATGAGATACTGAAGCACATACTAAAGGTTATGGCATCAGCAGATATGGAACACAGGTTTATATTTTTCTCACTTTACCAGCAGCTAATTATTTCAGTGATGAAGTATAGTCTTTGACTGCTAACATTATCTTGCAGCCAGCTAGAGGAGTGGAATGCATGCAAAATGAAGCTGTGTGAGTCATACTGAGCTGCACAAGGATGCACCAATTGTATGCATGCAGCACATACTTGTGTTGCCATATTAAGGCACAAGATACAGGGTAATAAGGCAAAAATGTACAAGGAACAACTTCTGCATGATATGTTGGACAATACTGAAGGGCACAGATTGAAAACAATGGCTCTTGGATGGTAAGGCGGAAGCACTATCAGAAATGTGTGTACTGTTGACAAGATAGTGAATGGTGAGGTATGAATGACAGTGCTGCACAGCAAAGCAGCCCTGAATAGAATGATGGTGACTTTCAAGAGAAGGTGTCGAGAATATATAAATGGAGAAACAGAAGCAAGCCGTGAATAGAATGATGATAACTTTCACATGAACGTGTCAAGAATGTATAGATGGAGAAACAGAAGCAAGCCGTGAATAGAATGATGTTAACTTTCAAATGAACGTGTCAAGAATGTATAGATGGAGAAACAGAAGCAAGCCTTGAATAGAATGATGATAACTTTCAAATGAACGTGTCAAGAATGTATAGATGGAGAAACAGAAGCAAGCCTTGAATAAAATGATGATAACTTTCAAATGAACGTGTCAAGAATGTATAGATGGAGAAACAGAAGCAAGCCTTGAATAGAATGATGATAACTTTCAAATGAACGTGTCAAGAATGTATAGATGGAGAAACAGAAGCATCAGTGCAAGAACTAATCAGTGCACATTAATGTCTAGGGAATATTATTATATGCAGAGATGGAATTGTAATGAGAGGTAAAAAGAGTGAAAGAGATTTCATTGCAAAGAAGAATATTGATTTTATTTGTACAGAAGAATGTCCCAGGTGTAATATCACAACATCTAGCATAGAATGGAGGTGAAAGCAGTAACAGCAGCTTTCCTATGGCCAGAAAGTAGTACTGCCAGAAATTTTGTATTAGATGTGTGCCAGGTTCAACCTCTAAAAGTGACAGAATTATTTTTCCGACCACTTGAGGCTAGGGTTAACCTAGCCTGACATAAAAAATGAGTAAGTGAGAAATTTCTGGATAGGAAAAGCATCAAAGAAGAGAACTCCTTCAGCCAATATGTGATTGACCATATTTAATCATCGAGCACTGATTGGTCTGTTAATTTTTTAGTGCCAGAAGATTAGATGATGTCTGATTGAAACTGTTATGATGACAGCAAAAACATGAGTATACTGCATTTAAGGGAGTCTAAATGCACAACACATTGTGGGTGATGATGCGTGCAAAATGCTCTCTTGATGCACCGCACACTTGCCAAGTATCCAGGTATGCTAAATAGTGTTACAGATCAAAGTCACCACTCCCGCCCAACAGCAATAAAGGACGCTGGATACATGTTGAACGTCAAAATATAATTAATGTATTTCAAAACCAAAACAATGAATCCACATGAATTTCTATACTGCCACAGTCATTCCTACTGGCAAGGCAACACACACTCCGGACGCTCTGGGCTACTTCTACTGTCACCCTGTTCCGTGGTTAACAACGAGCAAACATTACCTGCTCGTGCAAACCCACTGCTCGTGAGTACATGTCTGTCTCTATGACACACATTCCTTGGGTACACACGTACTTGAGATCTCCCATCTCACCATACGAGCTTCTGTCACGCTGACCCGGCCTCTGCAGCATCTCTCGCTGATAGCCTGTATGCCTAACGCCAGCGTAACATGCGGGTGTGCAGGACTAGAACCTACATCACCACATCCTTCCTCTCCGGGGGACTTGGAGCCAACCGTTTTTCTCTCTCTTCACATTGCGTTCAATGTGTCCTGCACCGCACCAAGTGTTTACGTTCAATAATGAACTTCCCTTTCATATACCCATATATTGCACACAACAGCTTACTTGTTTGCTGGATTAATTTAGTTTGCCTGACTACATATAAGATGTACTAATACACAAAACACTGGGGTACATGAGTAATATCTTGTACATGTGGTCGTTGTTTGGGTCTCAAAGATTTAAACTGTGGGGCAAGCACCTTGTTTCTAATATGTCCTAAAGCAATGAAACAGACCAACTTTTTGTAACCAAAAAATGTTTATATTTCTCCTGGTCTTCTATGTCAACCCAATTTGAAATCATGGGCACCAGAAAAATATCCTGGTAGATAAAGGTGTCAACATATTGTTAAACACATCACCCATCAATTATTTCTTCTTCTTCCTCCTTCCCATTCATTGGCTGTAAACTCTGGTTGGAAGTTCTGGTTGTTCATCCATTTCCTAATTTTAGTCTTGTTCTAGAATCTGAGTATTGTGTGCACATCGATTTTTCAGATGTGGCTTATTTGTATACAGACTGTTGGTTCCTTGCCTTTCAGACAGATGCACTCTGACTTTGAAGGAATTCTCAATTAGTGGACTCTCACAAATTTTTGTTAGGGAGGCAGTGGGTCTGTTCTTGTTTTCCCTACAATGGGGCCTCTGGAGCCACATGGGAAAACCCCATCAAATACAGATAGGTTTATTAAAAATATGGATTTAGCACCATATGCTTGATGCATCAGCAGCCACATTTACTGCCATGTCACAGAATAAAATGTGATTAAAGTTTTGTTTTTTGGCAGGTGTGGATGAGCCTGTGACGAAGGACAATGGCATTCGACCATCTAGCCTGGAACAGCTGAGTAAACTCAAGCCTGCTTTTATTAAACCATATGGCACAGTGACAGCAGCTAATGCCTCTTTCCTTGTAAGGCAGCTGTTTTGTTCGTTTGTTGACCAACATATAAATGCTGGCATTTTTATTGTTACAGTTTTTTGTTTTTGTTATAGCATCCGTATTTTAGTTGCTTGATGAGTTTTTGATCGAGGAATAAAGCTAGCTTGTCAGAGCACTTGCCTTATAGTCTACAGTTTTGCTATGGTCATCATCATCACAATTTGGAGTCCGATTTGTCCTGAAATATTTTGGAGATATTTGTTTTCTCTAAGATATCTGGGTGCGCTGAACTCAAAATCACTATGTCATCAGCAAAGTCAAGGTCTTCTAGAATTTGGTCAACCCACTTGATACCCACATTTATGTTATTTGTGCATTTGCGAATGACCCAATCAACTGCTATTCCAAAGAGCATCGGTGATAGGACACAGCAGTGTTTCACTCCTGTTTACAATGGGAACCAGTCAGAGTTGCCGGAATCTGTTCTTGCACTGCCTTGTGTTTCACTGTACAAGGATTTTATGACATTGATGTAGGGAAACCGTAGATTTTAAGTAGTTTCCAGAGTGTAGAACGATGGATACTGTCAGAAGCTTTTTGAAAGTTGACAAAGTTGATGATTAACTGCAACTGAAATTCCTAGATTCTTTAGTGATTATTCTGAGGGTGAAGATGTGATCTATGCATGACCGTTTTGGTCTGGAGCATATGGTATATTCTTGCTGGTTTCTTCATTGTGTTTAATACTTTTTGAAATAACTTCTATGTCTTGCATTATGGCTTGGTCAGCTACAACACATTTTGTGCAGATTCAGTCTATATATTTTTTTGTTTTTTTTACAAATTCAGTCTCTATTTGTTTGTAACTTTCACCTTTCAAATATTTTTTTTAATCTAATTTTTTTTTTTTACATTAAACTGTTCCAGGGATAGTAAACAGCCCTAATGCACTCCTCTGATGTTGATTCACTGTCTTGTTTAGTGTAGATCATTCTCAAGATGTTATTAATTGGTATCCATTTCAGTCTAGGTCGGTTTGGGAGCTCAGATGAGTTTAAAAATCCCTGCCTTGAAGGGACTTGATCTAAAATTGCTGCTTGGATATTTCCTGGAAAGAAGATGACTAATGTGAGATTCTACACATCCCCCATTGACCAGATTGGTCTAAAACCTGGTGCTAGCACCATATACATGGTAGCTGTGACAGAGCAATGGTAGCAAGCTTGACAGCCCGATGGTCATACGTGTGCTTTTGACACCTTCAAAACCAAACAACAAAAATAGAGAAGAAAATCAAATGGGAAGCAAAAAATGGCCACATCACGGTTACAGTAAAAGTAAAGTACCCTTGTCCATGTCTTCAGGATTGAATGATATAGCCAGAAAAACTGGAGTGCCATCACAGTATGACTAATAAGCTCAAAGTGTAGAAATCTTCTTTAGTTTTGCTATAAATCCCATATGCTTAATAGTATTTTTTAAGATGTCTTCTTCTTCTTTTCTTCTTCTTCTTCTTCTTCTTCTTCTTCTTCTTCTTCTTCTTCTTAACGTTCAATGGTTGTAAACTCCAGTGGAAAGTTCTGCTTGTTTGTTCACTTCTGGACTTTGGTATTGTTCCAGAAATTGAGTTTTACACGTACATCCATTTTATAGATCTGGCTTATTTGTATGCAGACTGTTGGTTCTTTGCTGCTCAGGCAGATGCACGCTGACTTATGGAAACTCCCTTAATTAGTCGCCACTCTGGGAACACATAGGATGTTTTTTCGCTTTACAGTTGTACACCAGAGCCACTGCAGTTCTAGAGGTATAAGATTAATAGTCAGGTTTTTTTTTTAAAAAAAGCTTATAGGTGAGTAAAAAAAAAAAGAGTAAAGGACACTTCTCCACGTCTTTAGGCGTATAGGGCACAAAGAGCTAGACCTATATT